GGATTAAAAAGTTTCAATACCAACTTGTGACGGGCAATTGTGAACAACGAGTCTTGTTACTTTGAATCAAAAACTGCCGTCAATTATTTTTCTTATTTTGCACTAATTAAAAAAAAAAACATGTAGACTCCCACGTGTACCACCGATGTGCATACATTTATATATATATATATATATCCACTGATTCAACAGGTGGTCCAGTGAAAACCAAGATCCTGGAACTCACGGAACTGAACCCGTTCACCCCACAAGGCCGGATAGTCGGTGGCGAGCCCGCGTCCATCGAGAACCACCCGTGGCAGGTGTCGCTTCAGAGCTACGGCTTCCACTTTTGCGGGGGCAGCATCATCTCCGAGACCACCATCCTAACGGCCGGCCACTGCACCACTAGCTACCCGGCCGGCTCAATGACGGTGCGCCTAGCCAGCGACCGCACCTCCAACGGCGGGACCCTCCACAAGGTCCAGCAGGTCGTGCGCCACGAGAAGTTCCGCACCAACATGTACGGCATCCCCGAGAACGACATCGCCATCCTTAAGCTGGAGACGCCCATACAGCTGAGCGACAAGGCCCAACCGATCCAGCTGTTCCACCAGGACGAGGAGTCCCCAGAGGGCGTCGCGGGTACCCTGTCCGGTTGGGGTGCACTGCGCGAGGGTGGCAGTGCTCCTGATGTCCTGCACACGGTGGACGTTCCCATGATATCCAAGTCGGTGTGCAACGAGGCGTACTCGAGCTTCGGTGGGATCCCGCGGGGGCAGATTTGCGCCGCTAACCCAGCGGGTGGCAAGGACACCTGTCAGGGCGACTCGGGTGGTCCACTTGTGATTGGGGGTCGCCAAGCTGGAATCGTCTCTTGGGGCAACGGCTGCGCGAGGAGGGGCTGGCCGGGGGTTTACACCGAGGTCGCTGCCCTGCGCGAATGGCTGTCCAAGAACGCTGGAGTTTGATTTGTTTGAGGGTTATGTTTTCTCTGTTATTGTATACGATGTATACCAGTTTGGTGGGTCTTTGGTGAAACTTCTTGATAAAATATTTTTCTTATGGATAATCTAATTTTCTTGTTTTTCTTGAAAAGTTCCAATTTTTTTTTCCTTTTGCGCTCAATCCATGATTCGTTTCAGTTCACTGTATAGCTTGTCGAATTAAAATATGCATTTATTGGAAATAATCATTGACCGATTTGATACGTTTACATCAGAAATGCAATAAGACTGTACTTTATTATTTAAGAAAAGGAAGCGCATAAAAATTTGTATACTTAAGGTGGCTCCAGCGCCTAGTGCCGTATCAAAATGGGGAGACTAAAAATTAATCATTATTTTCTTTAAAATATGGTATAAAATTATCGTAGAGACTGTTGTAAGCCATATTCTACATTTTATCTGTTACTTTAGTGAGTTAATATAAAAAAACAAAAAAGTTTTATGGTGCCCTAATTGATGAACTGTTACGGTACGCTCCTAAGTTCAAGAGTAGTTATAC